AAAATCTGGAATCTGAGGGTGCTAAAAAATCTAAATACTGAGAAAATCACCTTTAAAGTTGTCCAAATGAAGTTCTTAGCAATGCATATTACTAATCAAAAATTAAGTTTTGATATATTTACGGTAGGAAACTTACAAAATATCTTCATGGAACATGATCTTTACTTAATATCCTAATGATTTTTGGCATAAAAGAAAAATCTATAATTTTGACCCATACAATGTATTGTTGGCTATTGCTACAAATATACCCCAGCGACTTAACACTGCTTTTGTGCTGCAGGGCCACATATGTTCAGATTTTATTAAAGGTTTATTAAAGTTGGCAGTAGAGTTTGGGAACCATAATGAATTAGGATCTGTGTCATTTTAGTATTATTATATATTTTTAATATTTTAATGTAACTTTTATTTTTATTTATTTATTATTTTAGTTTTTTTTTTATATTAATATTTAGTTTTAATTTAAAAATTTTATTTCAGTTTTAGTTTTTATTTATTTCCAGTTAGTGATTTTAGTGCCTCAGTCAGTTAGTTGTAAAGGCAATGCGTTTAATTTTCGACTAAAGCGTGATATTAAGTACTTGTTTTTATGTTTGTCACATTGTCATTTTTCCTTGAACTGAAGGTATTGAGTGTTTGGCTTTCTTCCACAGGTTTGCCCAAGACGAGTCGTTTCCCGTCGGGCGGCGCTGAGCGAACGTTCTCCCTCCCGACTAGCTCCACACCTCCGGGCTCGTTTCTGCTGCCCTCGTACCCGCTGACTGCCCTAACAGGGAGTCTGCTGACCCCGACCTTACCGCGCAGAAACCACGCTGACCCCTCGCTGTCCATGTCCAACACGTGGCCCAACAAACGTGACTTCAGCCCTCACCGCAGGAGCGACATCGCTGGTCAGGACACATGCACTACATACACCTACACACGCCTCAGAGCTGTTCGACTCAAGCCACAGAACAAACTGAATCAGTAGTCCACTAAGTAAGGTGTTCAAGTAATCATTCATGACAATCAAACACAAAACTACTTCAGTCACTGCAGGGCTCGACATTAACGCTTGTCCGGGACAAGTGGATTTTGTGAAGGGGCAAGTGAACTGGACAAGTAACCTCATTAAAACATCAATACAAACAATAACTGAGCCATTCATAAAAAAAGTCACTTACTTTATTTATTGAATGAATTAGCCGTTTGAACGAATTGGTTGAATCAGTGACTCACTCATTAAGACTTGCCGCCACCTACTGGTGGTTTGGTTTCATATTTAAAAGTATCATTGCATTTTCCAACATTTCATATTTATATGTTTAAAAAAAAGTAAAACATTAATCTTATAACATTATTTATGCATTTGCAATTTTACTGTGTAAATGCATTTATGGAACCTCTTATCTCCATTAAACAGTCTGAGTAAATACATCTAAATGTCACTTTCGATGCAGCTCCAGTGTTTCCGCTGCAGTGGAAAGATGGAGTTTGTTGATTTCATTTGAATGGAAACAACCATACAGAGTCTAATTATACTAACTGAATGTATTGATAAAATGTAAGAATTTGATGTAAATGATGACACGTACATTTAGCAAGTTTAGGTAAATATTGCCCTTCATAAAGTTAAAAAGTGTCCTAGAAATCAATTTAAGGCAAGTATCACAAATATGCTGATTAAAGTAGGACCTCATAGAGCACTGATGAGACTATTGCTTCAGAATGGATTACATTTACGCCAAAAAAAAAGCTTTTTTTGCCTCGAACCCTGCACTGTATTATATTTGGGGCTGTTGATTAAACTTGTTAATTTGGTTCAATTAATTTTGGAAAAATGTTAAAATGATTCAGGTATTTAATGCATTTTTAATGCAATATCTGCATGATTGCAAATGTGATATTGATTTGATATAACAGAATTGATTTTAAACTAACAAGAAAGATTTGAGTTCTGAAACTTTTATAGTACAATGATCTGTTATATGTCAAAATATCAAGGGAATTTTGATTCCCCAGTTCATGACCCCTTTAAAACTGGCATTATTTGGTGTCATAATTGGAGTATCATTTCATTTTATTAAATCATTTTATATTTCAGTATTCACTTTTTGAGAAGAAACATTAATACCCATTTATTATCATTGAAAAGGAAATTATGTCATGCATTTTCCATGTCATTTCTTCACATACTTAATTAACGAGCTCCTCTGATGGCGTCACAGGTGAGGTGAGCTGCAGTAAACGCTCTCCGCTGCCTCCATCCGTCCGGCAGAGCCCAAACACCAGCAGACAGACGGACAAACACCTGGACAGAAACCTGCACCTGGATCTGTCGGTCAGCAGCGGCGCAGGAGAGCCCGAGGACGAGCCGCTGGACCGCGAGGAGGTGAGCGTGACGCTCTGACACGCGTGTATGTGCGCTGATGTCAGCAGACCGTGACTCTGAGCTGTGTGTCGCTCCTTCAGATGCTGAACTCCTTGCGCTCGTTGAGGAACAGCGCTGCTAAGAAGCGGGCCAAAGTCAGCGTGAGCAGCTCTGAGCCGGATCCAGACAGTCCAGACTCGGCGGTGAAGCTGGAGCTGGTTCCTGATTCTCCGGAGCAGACGTCTCCATCCGTCACCAGCCCTCTGAGCGAGAGCGGCCTGAGCAGCCTGTACTCGCCCCCGTCGCCCATCGGCACCAAGAGCAGGTCAGTCGCTCCGTCTCCAGTGTTAACCAGTCCAGATCATTCACTCAAACCTAGAGGTTGGCTATATACCAATAGAGCTCCGGACGTCACGTGACCCATTCTGTTCACACCACCATGCTGGCTGACAGCCGGGAGCGAATATGAAATGAATGGTGCCAGCATGAGTTTCAAGGCAACAGAGTTCACTGCCTACTTTAATTCAAAAGACAGAGACCTGTACATAGCAAAACTTAATAGATTAAGCATAAGAGATCCCTATAATGCCCCCGTGGTGCTTTTAACGTGTAGCCTATCAATAAAGGAACGGATAGATTTCCTGACCTGCAGTATCCTGATATCTACAACTACCTCATCAACTTTCCCTCCTAACGTTACTCCGGAGACTCTTTAAAAGCCTACAAAAGCCTGGAGGGGTACAAATATTCCGCTGCAACTAAATCTTTTGCAAAAAGAGACACAGAATAAATATGTTTTATATCATTTTTTTAATTGATCACATTGGAATCGAAACTGGGAATCGAAAAGAATCGGAATCGATAAGCAGAATTGGAATCGGAGTTGATCAAATTCAAACGATACCCAACCCTACCGTGTTCAAGTTTGTGTGTGTGTGTGCTAACAGACGCTGTACAGTAGTTTTAATTCTCATTTCTGGTTTATTTCATGACTCTAGCCCTGTGAACTCTGCTGTGAAACCACGAGTGCCATCAGGAAGACACGTCACAGCAGACGTCAGCGCTCGAGGTGTGTATGTGAAGCACACGAGCACAGCTGCATGCGTGCTGTCAAACGGTGTGAGTTACGTGTCCTCTGTGTGTTTTGTGTTACAGGTGTGACGCAGCAGGAGAAGAGTCTGTCTGATGGGAATGTGAGTGTGATCGGTCAGAGACTCGTTTACTCAAACAGATCGTTAGATCCAGACGAGGAGAAGCCCAGCGACATGACATCATCATCATCATCACTGCAGATCAGAGCCGCCGGCCGCGAGCCGCTCCGTGCTCTCAGACCCGCTAAAGGTGAGCCGAACTCAACAAACCTTATACATTACCAGTTAAAAGATTTCTTCTGCTCACATAGGCTGCATTTATTTGATCAAAAATATGGTAAAAATAGTGAAATATTATTAGAATGTAAAACAGCTGTTGTCTATGTGAATATCTGTTAAACTGTAATTTATTTCTGTGATGCGCAGCTGTATTTTCAGCATCATTACTCCAGTCTTCAGTGTCACATGATCTTCAGAAATCAGTATAATATGCTGATTTGCTGCTCAAGAAACATTTCTGATTATTATCAATGTTGAAAACAGTTGTGCTGCACAATATTTCTGTGGAAACCGTGATACATTGTATTTTTCAGGATTCACAGATGAATAGAAAGTTCAAAAGAACAGCATTTATTTGAAATAGAAATCTTTTGTAACATTATAAATGTCTTTACTGTCACTTTTGATCAGTTTAATGCGTCTTTGAAGAATAAAAGTATTAATTTCTTTTTGTGGTTGTTGTTTTTTTTAATCTTACTGACCCCAAATGTAGTGTATAGTGTTGGTAGTGTATCACAGTTTCCACAAAAATATTGTGCAGCACAACTGTTTTCAACATTGATAATAATCAGAAATGTTTCTTGAGCAGCAAATCAGCATATTAGAATGATTTCTGAAGATCATGTGACACTGAAGACTGGAGTAATGATGCTGAAAATACAGCTGCGCATCACAGAAATACATTACAGTTTAACAGATATTCACATAGAAAACAGCTGTTTTAAATTGTAATAATATTTCACTATTTTTACTGTATTTTTGATCAAATTAATGCAGCCTTGATGAGCAGAAATGCTTTTTTCAAAAAACATTTAAAAAATCGTAATTCTTCCAGTCTTTGACCGGTGGTGTATAAAATGTCTGATAATGTTTGAGAGTCCTGTTGAGTAGTTTCTGATGTAATAAATGTCTGGTGTTTCTCTCAGGATCTCAGCAGCGTGTGTCGTGCAGTCGTGACATGTCGGAGGGCGTGATCGGACGAGGTCAGTTCACCGCTGTTTTACTGTCAGCTGATCTAAAGCACAGCCGCTCTCATCCTCGCTCGTCTTCTTCCCTCATGTCTGCAGGAGTGTTCGGTTCGGCTGTTCTGCCCAATCGTCTCAGTGTGGCGTCTTCTCCTGAGCAGGGCGACTCGGCCGGTAAAATCACCCGTGAGCTTCCATCAGGCGTGTACGGACACGCCTTCACCAGCGCACTCCTCGAGTCTGACGCCAGTCCTGAACCAGAGGTGCGTCTCAAACAGACCGACGGCGTTCAGTCGAGCCTCCGCTGTGATCCTGAGTCACGTGATCTGTGTGTGTTACAGGAGAGAGTCAGACTCTCTAGGTTTGCGAGCGACAAGATGCGTCAGCGGCGTCTGGAGCGGCAGGACACGCCCCCCGCTCAGGACCCAATGAGACACCGCCTGCTCATCGACGATGTGAAAGGTGAGAGGTCAACAGCAGTGACAGCCATCACTCATCTGACATCTCTGTGCTCACCGTTTCTGTGTTTGTTTTCCAGACGGGAGTCTGAACGGTTGTGAGTGGCTCTCTGATGAATCTCCCTCCAGCCCGACTGGATCGCAGAATACAGTGAAATGTCTAAGCCCCGCCCATCAGCCCGCCCCCCCGACCGGCCCACCCAATAGGAACGCAGCACCCCGACTGAGACGAGCGTCTAGTTTGAACCGCACCAGACCGCCTGCGTCACACAGCTCCGGTGAGAGAGAAAATATACACACATACACACACTGTATGTGCAGCGAACAATAAAATCACGCAAACACTTATTTAAATCTGCTTCAGACTTTACATCACTGTTCAAAAATTTGGGGACAGTCAGATTAAAAAAAAAAAAATCAATATTTTTATTCATCAATGACACATTAAAGTGATGAAAAGTGACAGTAAAGACATTTATAATGTTACAAAAGATTTCTATTTCGAATAAATGCTGTTCTTTTGAACTTTCTGTTCATCTGTGAATCCTGAAAAATACAATGTATCACGGTTTCCACAGAAATATTGTGCAGCACAACTGTTTCCAACATTGATAATAATCAGAAATGTTTCTTGAGCAGCAAATCAGCATATTAGAATGATTTCTGAAGATCATGTGACACTGAAGACTGAAGTAATGATGCTGAAAATTCAGAGAAATAAATTACAGTTTAACAGATATTCACTTGGAAAACAGCTGTTTGTACAGCTTTGATCACAGAAATAAATTACATTTTAACAGATATTCACATAGAAAACAGCTGTTTTAAATTCTAATAATATTTCACTGTTTTTACTGTATTTGTGATCAAATTAATGCAGCACTTGCGAGCAGACGAGACTACTTTCAGAAACATCAGAAAAATCGTACTAACCCCAGACTTTTGAGCAGCAGTGATACTACAGGAAACTAACACATCTGTTAAAACTCGCTCACATTTACTTTTTGGTTTTTTTTTGGTGAATTTTTACAGGCGAAGTCCTGTCATTTTAATAGGAATCCAAAAGATTTCTAAATGCATATTTCGCATTGCCTTCAGTCAGTCATGCAGATTCACCGTGTTGACCCACAGAAAGCTGCTTGGCTTTAAAGTGACTGAAAGTGTCTGAGTTGTGCTTCATACATCACTACACTACTGACAATGGACTATTTTCCTGCAAAACTTCACTGAAGTGTTGCTAGTGTGACTGCAGCTTTAGTCAGTAAGTGGTTGATGTATCTCACCAAGGTCAACAAGGTCATGGCTTCAGTTCCCAGGAAACACACTGATGACATGTTTACTATAAATGCACCGCGGGTTGATTTGGATAAAAGCTTCTACAATCTTCCTGAATGTCATGTCAGATATGATCAGCCTGTCACTGAGGCTGTTGTTCACGTGTGTCCATCAGATGAGCTGATTCCTGTGAGTCTGAAGAAAGAGGGTCAGAATCAGGCAGACCTGCGGCCGTTCTCTAAACCGGAGCTGGCGCTGACGCAGAGCTTCAGACTGATCGCCTCAGACGACTGGTGAGTCTGACAGCAGATGTGATCGTTCATCACACACAGCGAGAGATCCACAGATCCTCTTGTAAAGTCGTTAGCGTAAATTTGTTTTGTTCGTGAAGGGAGAAGAAGATCGAGGGGATGAACTTCCTGCGTAGTTTGGCTCAGTATCATCCTGACGTGCTCATGAGCAGGATTCATGACGTGTGTCTCGCTCTCATTCAGGAGGTCAGTCACTACTGCAGCTCACGCTTGCAAACATTGATTCAGAGCAGCATCGCATTCATAAATCATGGAAGTAACAGTGGTAATTAGTGATGAAACAAACTCTTCTCATGATTGATCTCATGTGTGTCTCTCTCTGATGAAGGTTCGTAACCTGCGCTCCGGCGTGTCTCGTGTGGCTGTGGTGACGCTGGGAGAGATGTTCGCGGTGCTGCAGAAGGGAATGGATCAGGAGCTGGATGGGACGGTCAGAGCTCTGCTGCAGAAAGCCGGAGAATGCAACGCCTTCATCAGACAAGACGTGGAGCGAGCACTGGAGAGCATGGTGCAGCACTGCACTCTCACACGCAGCATGAACGCGCTGCTCGCCGGAGGACTCGGGTCAGAAATCACCTGCGTCACATGATCACACACACACCTCGAAGCGATCCAACTCTGCTGTCACTCAATCTGCTGCACACCTTCTGTCTCTGATTGACAGTTTAGAGAGTTTTATCCAGTCGAAGCTCTTTCAGTGTAATTCTCGATCTTGACTGGTTTTGATCAAGTAAGCGTCAGAATAACTGCAGTAATATCTCCAGATGAACACTTACTGGACTGAAGCAGCTCAGCTTTACTTGATTATCCATCAATCATGTTTTAGAGTCTCAAATTTGATCCTGAGAATCTTTTGAGGAGTGTTTGTTTACAGAAGCTTTA